AGAATTTACAGGAACTAGTTATTACGTCCCTTATGTTTATGCCTTAAAGACGGAAACAGGAACTCAACAAGGAAAAGTATTGAGGAAAAGTAAATGAATCAAGGACAAGAAAAACGTTGCAAACAATCGAAAATTCAAATCAGCGAAGTCTGTTTGAAAATTTTTGAATCAAACTTTTCAGAAACCAACTTAACTTTCCAAAAAACCCAAAGTAAAGGTGGAGCAACACTTTCTGACACCTTGCTCTTTTAACTGGTTGGGATATTTGAACTCATAAACTTTTTCACTGTTAAGTTTCATTTTTGTCAAAATTGGCTCCCTTCGAGTCAATATTTCCAAAAAAAGCATTTTTAACGCAACTTTCTGCAAATCACTTACGCAAACGCTTACCTCAGCTTCCTGTATGATAGCAGCCAATTCGATATCTGATCGAGGAAGCTCAACATTACCCGTTGCCAAGAATTCCAACAACAAACCAAAGTACTTCGGGTCTCTATCGATAAATATAGGTTCGGAAACTGAAATAAGCAATGCAAACTTCAATCTCAGTGCAAACTGCAGTATAATGTACCCGATGTCTTCCATGTTCTGTCCACCATTCTAGCCAAAAATGTTCCTGGTATGCGGGTCAGATTCGCTACTTTTGGGGCGAAAATTTCGCCACCAACATTCAACTTCACTTCTTCATCCGGATCCAAATAGGTGCACTAGAAATATTTTATTTGACAAAATATTACCATTATCAAGATTTATGTAATAGTTGCTAGTCTTTCATTTAATTAATGTTGACAATGAAGTTAAATATTGGTAAGTTTATAACTGAAATTAAAAGTACAGCAGTTCTGTCATTTTACCCTCTCCCCTTCCAAGCCCCGCTAGCGAACTAACTATTTTTTTGCTATTAGGCAAAAATTCCTATCATCTTGTAACCTCTCCCTGAGTAATAGCTCCTCAAGTCATGTCATGAGAAAGTGCTTCTCTCACACGAGCAGAAATCATGTGAAAGACTCCTGACAGATGGAATGCATAAAGTGCTTGAAAAGAGGTTAAATTTAGCAGTTTAAAAGATGTTGTGTAATTTGAAAGTTACACAATTTCTTTCAATGATTAACAGACTGTCTAAAATTTCGATTAATAAACGGATGTTTCAGAAAATTGCGCCGATTATTTGATCTTCGATGTCTTTGTATTTCTAGACCTTTACAAGACACTAATAGTTAATTTTAGAAGATTAATTGGGACTTAAATTTCCATTTATGGACGGATTACTTACCCTTAATGATTAAGGTCAAAAGTGATTAAAGGTCCCACTATTTTCCACAAGCGCTTACCATATACCTGATAAATAGCTTGCAGTAATAAATGATTAT